ATCTGATTATTTGCCCGATTGCGCCACCAAACAAAACTTTATGATCTTATGATTTTTGCAATCATAAAATCTGAAATTTAAATTCTACCAATCAAATCAAATTAATGTACCCCACAAACTTCTTCTATCTACACAATGCAGTACCTTTATATGCTCCCAATTCATCTTGATCTTATGGTTTTTATCTGAATTTGGCCTTCAATCTGACCTACAATCTGTCCTTCACTCTGACTTCTTCTTTTACCTCAATCAGACCTGCCTTCACTTTGGCTTTCAATTTTCTCCACAGTTTCACTATTCCGCCCGCCCTCATATTTCACCTTCTCTTTCGCCCTCACTTTCGCCTTCCCTCTCGCCTTCTCTTTCGCCCTCCCTTCCACCCTCCCTTTCGCCATCAATTTCGCCATCACTTTGGCCGTCACTTTGATCACCTTCACTTGAGTCTTCACTTTCGCTGGCGCTTGACTCGTCGGGCTCCCACACATGTTCGCGTCTTTGTGTACATTGATATGCCTGAAAAAGTCGATTCCACTCTTTCGAATGCTTGCCACATTCCACCTTCACACCGACTTCTGCACCATGGGCGACCAAGTGGGCAATCTCATGAGGCCTGTATCTCCCCTTACCAACATGAACAACTTGAACGACAAGCGACTTCAAGTGAACCCAGATCGGATCATCGTGGTCGATTAAGCATTCAAGATCACAAGGCTCGATTTGGTGGTTGGCAACAAGACTGATCTAGCTGATGTTGCGACACTCTCGGAATAAGTAATAAATAAAATCGGTCGAATAGGGTGTGAAGACCGATAGCTCTCAGCTAAGCAGTAAAACCCCCCCGGGGAGCTCCGATTTGTGGAGGCGGGTGTCTGGACGATCACCAAAAATGCTGAGAGGGACGTCGCAAAGGGTGAGAGAAACCAAGCTCTCTGCAAAGAGGCTACAAAACGAATGCAGGGCACGAAAAGAAAGCTGAGGGATTCTCTGTAGTACGATTCTTTCAAGCGCTCCTTTCCACTTGATCTGGCTCCAGCTCGAATTGAAGCAACTTGAATGTGAGATATCAATGATTTTAAGTGAGTAGAGCGAAGCTAGATGAATGGCCAATGGTGAGCAAACCGACTGAGGGTGATTTCCATGCTGGCAGAAGTTGCATGTTGGAAAGGATGCCCGGTGTCCTCTAATACGAAAATGAACTAGATGTATCATATCCCTTATCAAATTGATCAAGTACTCTTCTTTAAACCGAAAGGTGCAACCTTCTTCCCCTTTGTCCGGTGTGTTGTCATCTAGATACAGGTAGGTCAAGTTGGAAAGCTGGGCAATCGGATGGATTGATGTGGGGATTGGGTTGGTCAGGTCGTTGCTGATGTTATCAAACTCGTCATAGTAAGGTTCGAGCTGTATGTGGAGTCCGGTCAAATTGTTACAGAGGTGCAGGATATCGATTAATTGTCCCCGGCCAAGCCTGTCGGTTATGATGTCTATTGGCTCCGCAGTCTTAGAGCGGGAGAGCTCAAGAACGCCGGTCATGAGTTCAAGAATCAGTGATCGGGTGTGTTTGGCTTGACGGGGCAATATTTCATTAATGAGCTTCTGCACACGGGTTGGACTCGCGCTCCGCACGCAGATCACCTGAAACAGGACGATATAGGAAACAAACGATTAGAAACTGACGGCTTAAAAGTATTAATGGGGGTCAGCGCATTTGACAGGAAATCAAAGGATGGGATGATCTGAAGAACAGAATCTGAATCTTACTTTCCAATTCGTCGCACTACATAATTCGTAAAATGATCGATTGACAAAGGCAAGATCTAAGGATGGGGTCGCGATCTCATCAACTGTATGACACCAGTTCTGCTCTGACTGAAGTGCAAGATATTTAATGATAAGTAATTTGATCTCGGTTGGAAGGTCATTCAGGGTGATTTTTCTTGGTACCTGCAGAGGCTCCATACTGAACAGTAATAATTATCACAACTCGTAGCTAATATGTATGAGATCGCGCTGATAGCAAATGGTTCGGATCTGTGGAAATGTCTAGACTGGAGGAAGTACTCTTATGGCAAGAGGAGAACGAGTGGCCAACATATCAGAAGAAATCAAACAGATCCTAATGTTCATGTGGTCTTTAGTTCATGGATGATGAAGGGTTCTATACCCCGATATCTAGCGGTAGAAATTTGAAGCTATGTTTACGAAAGTCTTCTAAGCTAGCTTGCGCTGTGGTCTCTTTCCATTCGTTCTAGCAATTCACTAGCTAGAACTGTTTTTTTTATGTCGCCTACGGCGTTGCACACACACACACAAACTTGAACACTGCGATTGAAAGGCCCGGAACAGACCCGTCGGGAGCCTCGCGGATGGCTCCGAAAACGGCTTCTACATACTCCGGCGCCTCTTTGGCTCGTTCAACCACCGAAGGATCTCGCCAAACTGACTGCTCAGCTCCTAATTGCAGGCCAAGAGTTAGCTTAACCCATGAGAGATGGGTTGTTGATGTCCTTGTTTGTTAGGTTTGAAATAGATCGTAAATAGTTAACAAGTCCAAAAGCTCCATCGTTGCATTTAGATCGACGGTAGATGTGTTACAAAGGAGGTTTGCTGGGGCAATTATCATAGTCTGATGGATAGCGCGCCACCCAGTTGATAGATTTTTATTGCTTTTCAACAAATCGTTCAGGAGGGAGAATCGAGCATACTAAATCCTCCCTGGTTTGGACTCAAAGGCCAATGTGTCCGTGCAAATAGCCTACCTTCACAAGTCCCTACCTCAAAATTTCATTGGTGAAGGAAAGAGTGGTCGGGTTTTTTTGTGGTTGCAGATGACTTGAGTTTTTCCTACAAGTTAATAGGTCAGTTTGTGTATTGTTTAGTTCAAAACAATCAGTTTAAACTTATTCAAAATCAGACTCTGATGATTTATAGGTATTATTAACGCGTGCTGAGAAGCTCTCCTTTAGGAGCAAATTCCAATATTCATCACCACCAATAACACTAGGAAACCTCATACTGGTGGATGAAGATCCTGACAGAAAGCCCTCTACCAATATCGGTTGATGATCACTCATATATTTCTTTGGTTCATGTTCTGATCATGTCTCCTTTGAACATGGTGCAAGACAAAGGGAGGCTCTTGTTGCAAGTGTTCACGTTCCAGAATGATGGTGAGTAAGCTCATAATTCCAAGTATATTTGCAGCACTCAAAGCATCAATCATCAATGAAAAAAGGCTTTTTTCTTTTCATTTCTGGGTTGAATCTCAGGATCCAAAAAATATGATGATATGTAACTTTCCAAAAAAAAAAAAAAAAAAAAAAAAAAACTTGACAAGTGAAACACAATAATACATTTGAAATATGTAGCTCTGTTTGAAAACAATTATGGTGTATCAAGCCACGCTGGGCACACTCCCAAGTCCCGCTTGGCCAAGCGCCACAGGGGCTTAGGAGTGTGCCCAGGGGGCTTGATTGGGCAACTTGTGCAAGGCTTGGATCTTGGCACATAGCCAAGTCCCGCTTGGCCGACCCAAAGCTCTGGGCCAATGAGATCATTGATACCCTGCACTCACCAACACACAAGACACTCTTCTTTGCGGAGGAGGCACTATCCTTTGCCAAGTAGAAGCTCTCCTTTATCAAGTAGACACTCTCCCTTGCCAAGTAGACTGCCGTTGTGGAAAGTAAGGCACACCCTTGGGATTTCTTGTACTTCTCCGCTCTGCAACGTGTCCTTACTCCGGTTTGATGTCCATGTTAACTTGCTTGATGGTCTTGTAGGTAGGTAAATAACTAGATTTCTCTATTGTTTTGTTTGTAATACTCTAACAATTCTTTAGGACAATACACGATTCACTCCTAAGTCACTCTGTTTTTCTGATATGTTCTGAGTCATGTGTTCTTTCTTCTCTCTCCCCTTCCACTCCAAACTCCTACTCTGCCAACTCTCCCACACACATGTCTTCCTCCTGCTTCTCATGCTGTCCTCCACTGTCACTCCCTTGCACCCCGCTTGTGACCCCTCCAACACCCGCTAGTCCATGTACTCCTCCGGTCGCTATTCAGACAGGTCTCCCACCCCCGCTTCCGCCTCTGGTCCGGCCTTGCCAAACCCCGCTTCTGCCTCTTGGTGCTCCCGCTTTGTCTTAGCCCCTCTGCAGTTTACACTAACCCCGGTCCGCAGTTGGCCGTGAACCCCAAAGCCCGCCAGTGCCCAGATTCCCCGCCTGAAGCTTTCAGAACCTTGTGCATTCAACCCTGCTCAACCCATTTTTTCCTGCGCCTCAGAAAGTTGCAATTTCTACCTGCGCGGCACTGCTTCCCTCAGCCTGCCGCATAGCGTCAGCTTTGCATGCTTTCCGTGTCAGCCGCGTGCATTCCGCACCCACCCAAACAATCCGGCCAAAGCTTTGGCCGCTGCATGCTCTCACCACCACACCGTCTGAGAGATTGGGATGCAAGAGACCATCAAATGCTTGGTTTATCAACCGGATTGAGAGTCATGAGGATCGGGACTTTGCGGAATATCTGGACTTGAGTTGAGGGCAGCCGAGTTACGATCGGCTCAAGTTGCTTCTACAAACGCTCAGTGGACCGAATCATTCTGAGCTGGTTGTGTCGTGAGCCGTGATCTCTGGGGTGGGTGGCACCCTTGCTTGGGCTCGGCTAAGCGAGGCTTTGGCCCAACCCCCACCAACTTTGGCATGTGCCAAGCGGGGGTTGGGAGAGTGCCAAGGTGGCTTTAGGGTGTGCCACGTGCGCTTGGCTTGTTTTTTGCCCAACTTGGGCATGTGCCCAGTGGAACTTGATACACCATAATTAGGCAGTGATTGGATTCCCAATCTAACCAAGGAAAAAAAAAAGAAAGATTGTCTGTTCCCAATTTTTTGGAAAATAAAATGTGTTGAATGGGACCAAAAAACAATGGTTAGCAATCTATCAGAACATCGAGACTTCTGGAATCTACGTGTCTGTCAATGTCTGATAAGACTTTTGAGAGTGCACATACTGATTTTTTTTTAAAAAAGGGTACAAGAGTGAGAGTGGGAATTATTATTAGTAATCTTGGCTACAATTTGAGCGAGAATGAGAATTTTCCAGCAGGGAAGAGATTTTGAGTATGTTATATAGATGAGATACATGGTGACTGGAAAGAGTGATTAGGGCGAATGAGACATCCACTTGATCCGTTGGATGGGATCGGAATGATGGCTGACCGTCAGGCGGAGCCCCAGCGCCTTGGCGGCCTCCTTCACCAGATCCGGCTGGTCGTAGACATGCCATTCGGGAGCATTGGTGGATACCCTGTAGTTCAGGACCTGGAGTCGATCATCGGGATATCTCGTCGGCGCAGCGCTCTCGGTCGAAACCGACAGCTAAGAAAAAAACAAAGACAGAAAAGACGTTTGAGGAACGAGAGAGTTTTATGGTCTACAATATTACTAGAGGACTGACACCATTCTCGAGATTGATGTCTCTTGGGTAAGGTATGAGAGACGTCTTCCAACAGTGTAACAGATCGTGAGGCATGAGCATAGCGGCTCCGCCCGACGAGGTCAGGCCCTGGTCGGAAAGAGCAAGGGTCTGCAAGGACCTGCCTGCCAAGCTGAGCTGGTTGTCCTGATCGATGAGCAGGCGGAGGATGGAGCGGCCGGTTGCGAGTCGGCCGGTGAGCCTCAACGCGTTGAGACGCGGGAGATCGAAGATGGCTTTGAAGATAGCGACTGTGTCTTGTTCTGCGCCGACGATGCAGAGATCATGGATCCCTAGCTCGGTCAAAGAGGACGCGAGACTGGCGAGCAGGAAGCGGAAGCTCGTGAGCGAGAGCTTGAGCATCGACAGGTCCATCGATCTCAGGTTCGTCAACGAGCCGAAGAAGCCCGGGTCGAGGTACATCTCCTTGGAGAGTTGGAGCTGGCGAGTGAGTCTCTCTTGGGAGGCGATGTGGGCGATAAGTGTTGATGAGTCAGTTGTCGGCTGGGTTGGGGCGAGGTTGATGATCAAGGAGCGGAGGGCACAGGCGGAGGGGCTGATCTTGGGCTTGGCTCGGACCTGCTCCGATCCTGGTGGACGAGTGTCCGGACTGATGAGATGATCGACCAACGAATCCTGGAAGCCCAGCAGCTGGGAGATCGAGGAGAGGATCGGGTGGCGGCGGAGGGCCAGAGAGACCGGCTGGGTCCAGCTCGGATGGACGGTGGCCAGGGAAGCCAGCCAGGCTTGGCTCGACCGGCACTCCGGCGGGATCAAGCTCTCGAGGATGCTGGCCACCACATCGGCAGAGGTCATCGCTCGCAGCCCCGCCTCCGTCCGCGTTGTACTCCGCGTATCCTCGCTGTTGGACATGGGAGTAATATTGGAGTGGATACGACAGCTTCAGCCTTCAAGGTTTATGGTACATATCTCATTGAGGGCTTGATCTGCAGCTGGGGCAGCGGGTGAATTAAGTTGAGGGTGCGGGGACAGAAGGGGTCCGATTGACCCCCTTCTCCAGGTTGCCTTCATGTCTTCAAGTTCCACCATTCTTGCCCGAATTATCGCTAACAGAGAGGCCCGGCTTACGGCGGTGGACATCGCGGTGTTGTTTCCAAAATCATCACGAGCTGGAAGTTGCCCAGTAAACACAACTTGCATTTAATTTGTGTAATAAACTTGGAACCCTTTATAATTTCCTTCACAGCTACATTAATTGGGTTATCCATGCATATTAGATCTATCGGGAATTTGTTTTGGGAGCGGAACAAGTATGTACTGCGTCTATTGGATGTTGGAATGGCACTGAGCAACAAGCAGGATTCATATCAAGAGGAGGAAAAAAGAAAAAAACTAATGATGCCCTTCTCGTCTCCATGAAGAATTCGAGACAATCCAGGTCATTGGACTCTCGTCTCACTGGGACGCCCGCCTCTACCGATTCGGCCCAACGGCCGCGAGGTTTATGAGTTGGGTCTGCTATCAACGGCGCTACTAGATATTCGATCGCCCCGAGAGCTTGACGATTGAGGCGATTTGTCGAAGCTGAGCTTAAAAGGTTGATCAACCCTGTCTGAAGCCTTTTTTTTCTTTGTCAATTATATCATGATCAGCTACATATCCGGAGTCTCGGACAGCCATGGCCATAGTGACCCGGGCCAGGAAAACCCCGAAAATCGTATCTCTCCAACATGGGAAGCGAGTTCTTCCCGACGGAGATACGCGCCCTGATCATCGGATTATGGATACGGGCGGCCTCTCCGCTCAAGAAGAGAATGGAGACCCGGCCATAATCTTGCCCACTGATCTGATCGGGCTCTCATCATCATCTCACTAAAATCCAGGCTGAAGTAAATAAATAGTTCAAACGGTGTTTCGGTTGGTTTCCACCTTCATAGCACCGGCGACCGAAGCCGAAGCGTCTCTCCAACGGATGAGTGGGTGAGTGAGCAGTCTATGTATCTCATTGGCAACAGCGCGCTCAACTCATCGAGAAGGGGGTACATATCAACTGATGACTAGATTATTCCCCCTGACTCTTCGTCGTCGCCGAGGAGGATCTCGAGCAGGTCGGAGGGTGACCAAGGACCGGTAACCGGGGTGGGACTGCAGTTCAGTCGCTACATAGTACTCGGATTCTCCTAAGCCATGCTGCTGATTGCCTGGCCTCATCAACCTTTCAATAATAATAAAAATAATAGTAGTAATACTCTTTCCTGCTGATTATCAGTTGACATCCCACTGGGCCTTTGTCAATTCCAGCCTACCCTGAGGATTGCAATGTTTGTGTCTACCCAGTTCTTATTAGCAGCAGCAGCTTGGCTCGAATATTGAAGGCTCATTATTGATCACCACCCCATCCATCGTCCTCCTCTCTCCCCATAATAGCCGTATATCATCTGCTGATCCAGTCCAGCCCACTCCACACATGGTCGATTACAATCTGCAACTTGTTTAGTCCAGTCTGCCTCCAAGCACTTCGACAGTCTTAAGACACAGTCAATCCCCATCGCCTCCTCTGCCTCTAGAAAAATTCAGCCATCCCTCAGCCCAGACTCACCCGGCTGTCTGACTTGATGCTTCGGATCTGTCAGCTTCCTGATCTTGCCCTCTGAACACCCTCAGCCTCAGATCTCAGCTGGCTCATTCCTAAGTACGATCCCGAGCGCCCGCACCGACCCTCTCAGTCTCAAAAATCAGATACTTAACCTCCCTCTCGAATCGACACTCTCATCCTCAACCCACACCTCCCCCGATCTACCCGGGGAATTCGCTTCTCAATCAATCAGACTGAACTCCTTCTTTCCATCAAAAAAGAAACCCCCACAAGCTCAACTGTGTGGACTTTGCTATATAAACATTTTCATATTCATATATATATATATTTCTTTCTTTCGTATGCCAATTTCCGGCTAATCTTATCCGTAAGTTGCTGCTCACAACTTGATGCTTGTCCACGCAATTCAACCACTGCGCACGGGCGATACAACCAGTCTACCGATTATGATGCAGTTCACTCTCCATATGATCTGGATATCTCAGAGCTTTATGATCAGTGGGGAGGCCGAATAGAATGACAAAATGTGCTCGGTGGCTCGCAGAGAAATTGATGGCTGGCTTTTCCTTCTCCATTTCCCTAGAATCAGCTCGATCAGATCCTCTGAATCCTTCTACCAACCCCAAGCATTTCAAACCTCGCTGGCTGGACATCTCGAATCGATCTACTCGGCTCCCTCCACACTGTGATTTGACTATTTTGGACAGGTCCATAGCTGATAGAAGCTTTATATCATATCCTGATTTATAGCTTTCCTCCCCAGACATCATGCGCCCGTCAGGAGAAAGCTCACAACCGATGTCTACCTCATCATCTTCGTCAAACCATGCCGATACTTACATGCCTGGCACGTCTATCAATTTCTTCAACACCGTCACGCCGGTGTCTGACTGGTCCGAGGAGGACGTCAAGGGATGGCTCCAAGCGGTAGGGTTCGATGAACTGGCGCACGTCTCCGAAGGTCAGTCCAAACAAGGATGGCCAGAGCATCATGAGTTGAAGAAAAAAACTGAAGAGTTTTTGATGTTCCTGTTTGAACAGAGCAAGGAATCGACGGGGCCGTCTTGATCCACCTTGATTCTGAAAGCCTGAGAGATTTGGGCTTCGTCAAGGTGGGCCAGAGATTGCGCTTGATGCGCTTGATCAATGAACTCATGGGTCTCGCCGACAATTTCGATTTGGCCGACAGTAATCCCAAGATGATCGGTTCGTGCTTTGGGCGGGATGACGGGCGAAATTTTATCCACCAAAATCCGATAGCTGACTACTTGATTGATTCATACAGGTGACCAGATAAACTCAGAGTGTAACCTATGGAATTGTTTCCAAACTCAGAGTGAGCTTCTTTTTTCTCTTCAATGTTGACTATTCGACTGATAAGTAGAGCTATAATGTCTTGCAGATGATCGAATCAGATTGCTGGAAGATCAAGTGTGGAACTTGAAAGAGACCACCAAGTTCCTCAGGGAACGGACTGATAGCTTGAGCAGTTTCAATACGGTCAGTCCAGCGTTCATCTTCCTCTGAGCTCTATTGCGGTGTTGACTTGGGTGTTTTGATTTTTTTTGTTCCAGAATTGGGCAATGCAGTCGTCATGTCCGAATTCATTGGCTCTGCAATCATCGAAACCGTCGGCTGACAGCGGCAATTCTACCCCACCCACGACGGCATCGTCTATTCGGACGGCCATCACTTGTTTGACCTCTAATAATCAGAACAAGGCATCCCATGATACGATCTCGAATGAGTCTGATTCGGCGGTCGAACATTACACCCCTAGATTTCATGATGCAACAGAGCATCCTACCTGCGGCTTGGATCGTTTCACGCTTGCGTCCCCAATCCAATCCATCAAGAAGAACGTCTCTGCAAGGGATCCTTCCTCGCCTCAAAATGCAAACGATGACCCATATACCGACACTGGCTCATCTTCCTCCAACAGCAGAACACCCCAGCCCGGTGTCTCTCCCCATAATATTACCTTTTCGCCAAACACCCATTCGTCTAAGAAGCCCTCCGGATCCAACGCTTTCCGCAATTCTCAACAATCCACCCGTAGCTTGGCCGACCTTCGCCGGAAATTCTCTGGCTCAAACCATGATGAGTTTGGATCGCACCACAACCCGCCAGCGACAGCCACCGGCACGGGGCTTCCGGCGGCTCGAAAGCCTTCATTGGTGACTCGTCGTGTGGGAGCCCCTGCGCAAGGCATAGGTTCACGCTCGATGCGTAGTGGAGGTGCTCTCAACGAAAACAGGGCCGGTGGTGTTTGGAAACGCTCATCGATCACCACAATTCTGTCTGGCTTGCCCGACGATATCAAACCGCTTTCGACTTCAAAGCCCGACCTTATCAATCCATTGAGCCCCACCTCAATCAACCGATCCGCCTCCACTTCTAATCTCAAGATCGCCAATAGTTCCGACCCCAAATCCGCAAACAGACTCAAGCGGGTCAACACCGAGACTAGCATGCGTGTCAAATCAAACACCGAGCAGACCGTAATCGAGGTGCTCTCCAACCACCTTTCAAGCTTCTATGCGGATGAACCTCATGCATGGTCGAAGCATGTGTTGCTACTCAGAATTAATGATGTCAAAGAATATTGTCTCAGTTACGACGACATCCCGCTGAAGGTTTATCGCTCCTTCACATCCCGTGATGGGGTCGACTTCGCCATCCGCTCGATCGACGAAATCCCCTCCCCCTTGAGGCTCACCGGAAACAGTCGCAAGAAGAATCTGAGCTTCGACCTCGAGCAGAAGTTTGCAGCAGACGATTCAAAGTCGCCGCCTGATGGCGAAATCAGGAAGGCTGAAGTCGATACTAAACCGTTGACTTATGGCCTCGCCATTTGCGGCTACCAAGCTGAAGCGCCCGGAGAGTTGACCATCAAAGCTGGAGAGTCTTTCAAGCTGAAGTCACATGTAAGCCATTCTGAAAATCGTCCCCTGAGATGTTGTGATCATTGATAGATTGTTTTTCCTTTTTTTTTTTTTGGCTATTAGTCGAAAGGCAGATACTATCTAGAGAGGGAAAGTAATGTACTTCTCGGCTCGCCTCTGTTGGCAACAAACATGACGCCATCGCCATCGCCGACGCGGTTCGGGACTGAGTGTTCGAGTGAAAATGTAGGCTGGGTTGCGGAGAGCTGCATCCTGGAGAGCACCAAGTCGATGCGGACGTTGAACGCGAACGGATCCTCGCTGAAGCATCTCATCTCGAGCCCTCTAGATGGGGCGAGTGAATGTTTTGATCTGGAGAATCTGACGAGTCCCAAGATCACTCTGGTCTCCTTCCAGTCCCAGCCCACCACTTGGTCCGGGGAACTCAACAACGTCATGCAGGCCGAGAAGATCCGGGTGTTCAACCACAAGACCCGGTTCCATTGGGTCTATTGTTTGCGCGAATCCAGTGGCGAACGCGGCTGGCTTCCCAAGTGGATCCTCTCCTCGAACCTCCAAGTGTTCCCAGACCCACACTCTCCGGCCTCCCACAGCAAGCTCCAGAAATACCTGTTACAACAATCGAGCAGTAGGGTAGGAGGAGGAGCAGGAGGAGGAGGCAAGTCAACGGACTCGATCTCGGAGCTCAATTCGAACCGGAAAGCCGTCATGCTCGGCCGCTCGGCTTCCACCGTCAGTCCGCAGAAACAAGCGACCAACAAAGCTGTCGACGGCAGCCCTACTTCTATGCGCGCCCTTCGCACCCAACGCAGCCAACACTTCACTCCAACAACGCTGGCCATCTCCATCGACCCGCCCCCCCTCAAACAGATCATCACCCGTCACAGACCCGACGGCTCGCTCGCCACCTCCGAGGAAGGCTCGGACTCCGGAGCCTCCTTGACTCGCTCCGTCACCGACGGCTCTCGGACTACTCACTTCACCCCCCGGAGTCGGAGGTCTAGAGCTAGCGGGACTTGGGACTTGTGAGACTTACAACTCGCCCCCCCCCCCAGACATTTTTCCATTCTTTTTTCTCCTCCCCCCCTTTTTTTTTCTTGGGCCAATTCATTTAATCGTTTTTTTTTTCTTTCCTCATCTTTTTTTTTTATCTGGACTTCAGTGTCTGATATTTTTCTTTGCTAACATATACATATGTATATATATAGATCAACCGAATTAATTTGTTCAACATTTTGCTAGAAATTATCGCGAAAACCATCTTATCGTGTCTCCATCATACACATTCCATGTCTTTTTTTTTTCTTCTGTTTAACTTTGTATAACAAAAAAAAACAACAACAATAACAAGCTCTTTTAGAGGATCTTGATGTATGGTGTGTGTGTGTATGTGTGTGGAATCAAAACCCGATGGCGCTCACATGAGATCCACACCCCAATTCGGATATTGCAAGCAACTTGCAAGTCTTGCAAAGTTTTGCAGATGGATTTGCATCAATGAGATACGTCCAGCCGCGTCGATGCGCTCGCTGGCCAATTGAAAACCAACCATCAAGTCTTTTTAAAAAAAAAAAAACGCTGGAAGAGGTTGCTGTTGGGCTGCGGATCTCACTCCAAAAAACCAACCCCAGGGCGATGAGTTACCATTCGACTTTGTTTCTGTGGTTAGCTCAGCTTAACAATAATTCCTATATTGCCCTTTTACTCAGTGTTTTGGAGCTCATGAGACAGTGCAATGACAGATACTCGCAGAGCAGGTTTGAAAAACCTAAACTTTTGTCATGCCAAACCATGGTACACTATGGTACATCGTTCGATTGGGCCATGAGCTTGTCAGTGTCTGTTATCAAATATTTATGCCCCGCGTAGTCAGATTCGTAACCCAACAAAAAAAAACCCCTTCATGTCACACCCGACACCGCGTCTTAACGAACCCGTCGTGATGTCTGCTGGTATACAAGGGTACTATAAATCGCAGGCCATCGATCGGTCACGGTGCGATCGGTCTAGCCCGGAGCTGAAACCCGTCGTGTATAGTTATAATGGTTTGCAATGTACATGGGCTACCCCCAAGGCGGCCAATACTTTTTGAGTATCCTACCGCATTTATGTCTGCGTCGGCCCGGGTTGAAAATTTCCGACTGATCCCGACCCGGCCATCCTCTTATCAGACTCAAATTTTGTGAGATTGAGCTACTGCGGTTGGTTTTGTGACTGCTGCAAACCATAACTTTATACCGTTAGTTTTGGGCTCTATTGAAAAAAGTTTCACTGTTGATTACTGCAACATATGTAAACCTACTTGAAAACTGGAATTTCTCAAGCTGGTGGGTCTGATCATGGACACATCGACAAGCTATTCTTGAATATAAATACCTGCCTTCTGAAAGCTATCCTGCCCCATCAATTCCCCAACCCAAAATCCCCTCAGAGATTCTTGAGCAGAGTTATATCCAAAAAATTCCTTGCAGAAATGTTCTCAATTTCCATCTTAGTGGCTGCTGCTATGGTTAGCTATTTATATGATTTTTTGGACTATCCATTGGGCTGCTGAATGAATACTTATAATTGCACATTCTGCAAACCAACAGCTCCTTCAAGTAATAACTGCATCAGCTATTATCCATCCATCTGATACAATTGGTAAATTACTATGTGCATTTTCCTCCAAAATCATTTAGTAAAAGACGAATTAAATTATTCTTGTCTGATACCACCTTGCCAGCTTCTGTGGGGAGAAATACACTGGTGAAATCTGGTCACAAACACACAAAGCGTATGGAGTCTCTTGTTAGTCATTTGCTTGTGGTTTGATATTATTATTACACAAGTGGGTTGAAAATCTGATGCTTCCTCTCACTAATGGGTTATTAATCAATTTAGAGAGAACAGCTCTCTGGAAGATGTGGAAAGTGCGGGTATGGTTTAGATGGAGGCATCTATGAATGTTCTGGATGCAATGTCAAATTTCATTCTGGGTGTATGTGGAGCGGTCAACAATGCAACATTTGCATAATAAAAGAAAGGATAGGACAAAGAGAAGTTCAAAAAACTCAAGATGAAAACCAACGCAGAGAAGAAAGTGTGAGCAATCTCATTCAAGTGGGGCCAAGAAAGATATTGTAAACTCATGTATCTTTTATCTTTCAGTCAAGTAGGCATTATCTTGATGAAGCCAGAAACAAATACCGCAATTCAGACTACAGGGACAAAAATTATTAAATGTGGGGTATGTGGTCACAGTAAAGATGTGGGTCCTACCTTCAGGTGATTTCATAGCTTGATTCCAGATAAACCCAAAGGAAAATGTTTCAACACTTGCACTTCCAATAGTAACTGGCCAAATAATCTGGTCCAACTGGTTACAAAGATCTTCCCAGATGTTGGGTGGAAACATTCAAGTTTTTTTTCACTTTAATTCCCTGGAAATCCCACAGAAATTACTCCCTGAATCTGAAAGCTCCTATTGATTCCCAAAAGCTTACACCAAAACTTGATTGAATTATATTTCTTTATGATAAGTAGCATCATGCATCCAGATGATCAAAGCTTCTTTTATATTCCTATATCACTTCCTAGACATAAATGCCAATGATCCAGATGTTTGTAGATAGTTTCTAAAGCAAAAACTTATCATGATTAGGAAGATGGTGCAAGCAATTGAAAGAGTAAAACTACTCATAAGATTTTGTGTCAGCCTATGTGAACCTGCCAATGGTGGGTCTACACATACTTCAAATTATATCCAAGTTTCTCAAATCTTCTAAGATGGCAATTTGAACTTGAACTTTATCTTCAGTAGAATGATATGGAAAGGGATCTTGGAAGTTTCCAGTCAAGGAGTGAGGAGTCCAGGACCACATGTGCAATTTGAGACCCTGCATAATAACAATGCTGAAACCAATACAATTCATGTTTTTGTATCTGTTTTTCTTCAAATACATTTCATTTGTATTATACCAAAAAAATAGAGGGGCTTGGTTAAACGACTCCCAAAAAGTGGAGAGCCGACTCCCAAGCCCCGGAATCCCCGAATTTTGGGAGTCGAACCCCCAAAACCTTAGACTGGTTTGGGAGTCGACTCCCCAAAAAAAAATATTAAAAAAAAACCATCCCCCGGTCGGTTTAGGAGTCGATCCTCCAAAACCGACCAGGGTTTGGGGGTCGACGAAGCAAAAGACCCACCAAAGCGGCCGGGAGGAATCTTCCCGGCCGCTGGGAGTACACTCCCGACGGCCGAGGGAAAATACCTTGGCCGCTGAGAGTACACTCTCAATGGCCGAGGGTGTACCTCTCAGCCATCGAGGGTACATATACACCTCGATGGCCGAGAGGATTCCTCTCGGCCGTCGAGGGTAGAATTACAGTCTCAACGGGCGAGGGAATCCACCTTGGCTGCTGGGTGCGCTTCTCGATCGCCGAGAGTGTAGCTCTCTCTCGGCCGTCGAGAGGTACAGTCTTGGCCGTTGCCACTCTCGACGGTCGAGAGGTACACTCCCGGTGTACACTCTTGAAGACCGAGAGGGAGCTACACTCTCGGCCATCGAGAAGCGCACTCAGCGGCCGAGGTGGATTCCCTCGGCCGTTGAGAGTGTAATTCTACCCTCGACGGCCGAGAGGAATCCTCTCGGCCATCGAGGTGTATATGTACCCTCGATGGCTGAGAGGTACACCCTCGGCCATCGAGAGTGTACTCTCAGCGGCCGAGGGCCGAGGGAAACTAGCGGCCGAGGTGTTTTCCCTCGGCCGTTGGGAGTGTACTCCCAGCGGCCGGGAAGATTCCTCCCGGCCGCTTTGGTGGGTCTTTTGTTTCATTGACCCCCAAACCCTGGTTGGTTTTGGAGGATTGACTCCTAAACCAACCGGGGGATTATTATTTTTTTATTATTTTTTTTGGGAGCATCGACTCCCAAACCAGTCGAAGGTTTTGGGGGTTCGACTCCCAAAAGTCGGGGATTCCGGGGCTTGGGAGTCGGCTCTCCACTTTTTGGGAGTTGTTTAACCAAGCCCCAAAATAGATACTATACAAATAGGGTTCTGATCTGCTGCCCCAGAGCTGGACTTTACACAACCCAAACCCTGACCCCGCAAAGATCTGGCACGGAGCCAGGTTTTGCCAGATCTTTGGCAAAATTTAAGACACAAGTTTCCAGGGATTCAGGGTACTTGAAGGCCATAAAACAGCACTTAATAAAGTCACCACAGCCCACAGGCAGAACATAGAAAAAATTGAAGACTATGTATGTTGCTTCAGGATGAAATCAACTCACACCTTGACTCTGAATGTGAAGACAAGGCTTCTGAGCCATTAGCGTATTGGAGATGCAATGCCAAAACGTTTCTGAGCCTCTCATGAATGGCTCAAACACACATGGCAATCTCAGATAACAGTACCCCCTGGCCCTGCAAACACAAGAATTATTGGCTGCATGGGTTGACACATTCAAGATTACAGCCAAAACCAAATGAAATCCACAACCCATGAATCAATCATCTGTTGACAGAATCTTTTGATTACAGTGTGATAAGCATTTGCAATACCAAAAATGTCTCAACCACCAAATAAACATAGAAGATTTCTTTTCAACCAATAAATTAGTTTTTGCCCTGTAAATGATTATCATACCCTTATTTTCTCCTTTTTCACTATGTGAGAAACCTTCTCAAAGTGAAGGTTCTTTGAACCTGTAAATAGCCCATTGCAGCCTCTGCCCCAAAACAGAGATATCCAGCTGGATGTCGGATCTCCAAATCACAATCCCAAACCCGGATCCAGCTTTTGGGGTTGCCGGATCTCACCAGATCTGTGGGCTCCGGATTGGAACCCTATATAAAAATGTATCAAAATTCATGCTTTGTTTAATCGACTCAGGTTCATGTATGTACTTTAGGTTTTCAACCCTGCTCTGTGGTCTGTCTGAACTCCAAAACACTAAGTAAAAGGAAGAGAAACAAGGGCGAATATGGTATGTAACTCGTCTCCCAGGTTGATTTTGGAGTGAGATCCGCAGCCCAATGGCATCCTCTGCCGGTGTTTAACCTGAACTTTTGTCATCCCAAACCATGGTACATACATGGACCTGAGCCAATTAAACAAAGCATGTATTTTGAGTGATCAGGAGCTGGTTCGATTGGGCCAGCTTGCCAGAGTGTCTGTTATCAAATATCTAACTTGCCCCGCGTCGTCAGATTCGTAACCCAACAAAAAAAAAATCCCCCTTCATGTCACACGCGACACCCCGTCTTAACGAACCCGTCGTGATGTCTGCTGGTTTGCAAGGGTATTACATATAAATCGCAGGCCATCGGTCGGTCACGGTGCGATCGGTCTAGCCCGGATCGGAAACCCGTCGCGTATAGTTATACTGGTTTGCAATGTACATGGGCTATGTCCCCAAGGCGGCCAATACTTTTTGAGTATCTTACCAGACTTATTTCTGCGTCGGCGCGGGTTGAAAATTTCCGACTCATCCCGACCCGGCCATCCTCTTATCAGACTCACATTTTGTGACATTGAGCTGCGGTTGCTTGTGTGACTGCTGCAAACCAGGACTTGATACCGTTAGTTTTGGGCTATATTGAAAAAGTTTCACTGTTGATTACTGCAACATAAACCTACTTGAAAACTGGAATTCCTCAAGGTGGGTCTGATCATGGACACATCGACAAGCTATTCTTGAATATAAATACCTACCTTCTGAAAGCTATCCTGCACCATCAATTCCCCAACCCAAAATCCCCTCAGAGATTTTTGAGCAGAGTTATATCCAAAAAATTCCTTGCAGAAATGTTCTCAATTTCCATCTTAGTGGCTGCTGCTATGGTTAGCTATTTATATGATTTTTTGGACTATAAATTGGGCTGCTGAATAAATACTTATAATTGCACATTCTGCAAACCAACAGCTCCTTCAAGTAATAACTGCATCAGCTATTATCCATCCATCTGATACAATTGGTAAATTACTATGTGCATTTTCCTCCAAAATCATTTAGTAAAAGATGAATTAAATTATTCTTGTCTGATACCACCTTGCCAGCTTCTGTGGGGAAAAATACACTGGTGAAATCTGGTCACAAACACACAAAGCGTATGGAGTCTCTTGTTAGTCATTTGCTTGTGGTTTGATATTACACAAGCAGGTTGAAAATCTGATGCTTCCTTTCAATGTTGGGTTATTAATCAATTTAGAGAGAACAGCTCTCTGGAAGATGTGGAAAATGCGGGCATGGTTTAGATGGAGGCATCTATGAATGTTCTGGATGCAGGGTCAAATTTCATTCTGGGTGTATGTGGAGCGGTCAACAATGCAACATTTGCATAATAAAAGAAAGGATAGGACAAAGAGAAGTTCAAAAAACTCAAGATGAAAACCAACGCAGAGAAGAAAGTGTGAGCAATCTCATTCAAGTGGGGCCAAGAAAGATATTGTAAACTCATGTATCTTTCATCTTTCAGTCAAGTAGGTATTATCTTGATGAAGCCAGAAATAAATACCGCAATTCAGACTACAGGGACAAAAATTATTAAATGTGGGGTATGTGGTCACAGTAAAGATGTGGGTCCTACCTTCAGGTGATTTCATAGCTTGATTCCAGATAAACCCAAAGGAAAATGTTTCAACACTTGCACTTCCAATAGTAACTGGCCAAATAATCTGGTCCAACTGGTTACAAAGGTCTTCCCAGATGTTGGGTGGAAACATTCAAGTTTTTTTTCACTTTAATTCCCTGGAAATCCCCCAGAAATTACTCCCTGAATCTGAAAGCTCCTATTGATTCCCAAAAGCTTACACCAAAAATTGATTGAATTATATTTCTTTATGATAAGTAGCATCATGCATCCAGATGATCAAAGCTTCTTTTATATTCCTATATCACTTCCTAGACATAAATGTCAATGATTCAGATGTTTGTAGATAGTTTCTAAAGCAAAAACTTATCATGATTAGGAAGATGGTGCAAGCAATTGAAAGATTAAAACTACTCATAAGATTTGTGTCAGCCTATGTGAACCTGCCAATGGTGGGTCTACACATACTTCAAATTATATCCAGTTTCTCAATCTTCTAGATGGCAATTTGAACTTGAACTTCATCTTCAGTAGAATGATATGGAAAGGGATCTTGGAAGTTTCCAGTCAGGGAGTCAGGAGTCCAGGACCACAGGGGCAATATGAGACCCTGCATAATAACAATGCTGAAAGCAATACAATTCATGTTTTTGTATCTGTTTTTCTCCAAATACACAGCAGTCTTATTATGCCAAAAAAATAGATACTATACCAATAGGGTTCTGATATGCTGCCCCAGAGCTGGACTTCACACACCCCAAACCCTGACCCTGCAAAGATCTGGCCCGGAGTCAGGTTTTGCCAGATATTTGGCAAAATTCAAGACGCAAGTTCCCAGGGAGTCAGGACACTTGCGGGCCATAAAAAAGCACTCAATCAAGCCACCACATCCCACATCCTCACAGGCAGCACATAGAAAAAATTGAAGACTTTGTATGTTGCTTCAGGATGAAAACAACTCACACCTTGACTATGAATGTGAAGACAAGGCTTTTGAGCCATTAGCGTATGGGATATGCAATGTCAAAACGTTTCTGAGCCTCTCCTGAATGGCTCAAACACACATGGCCATCTCAGCTTCCAGTACCCCCTGGCCCTGTAAGCAAGCATTCTTGGTTGCATGGGTTGACACATTCAAGATTACAGCCAAAACCAAATGAAATCCACAAACCATGATTCAATCATCTTTTGACAGAATTGGTTTGATTACAGTGTGATAAGCATTTGCA